CATGCCGAGTACATAGGGCATGCTACTGAGGACTGTATTATTTTCAAGACCAAAGTGCAAGCGCTAATTGATCAGAAGATTCTGACATTTGCCGAGGAACATTCCAATATGCAGACTAATCCTTTGTTGACTCATGGTGGGCTAGGGGTTAATATGGTTGGAGACAATTAAGGGGCCAAACTGATCAGAGATGTCGATGAAGTGAAAACTTCAATAACTGTTGTGATCAAGAAATTGAATGAGCATGGGATATTGAAGGGTCTTCATAATCAATGCGAAAAACTGAAAGGTTGTGTTCAGATTCTGATAAATAGAGGTGTGGTCTAGTTTTCTAGGTCCATAGCCATCGAGAAAGTGGCTATTATCGAACCATTTACAATCATCTACTGAAAAGTTCCTGTGGAAGCTTCAAAGAATAAGATTCAACCTATTACCATTTGTGTGCCTAGGTCATTTCCTTATCAGAGCTCTAAGGAGGTTCCTTGGAAATATGATCCTTCTGTGTACTCTAGGGGCTGAGAAATATAGTTTTCATAGTCTAAGATTATGAATATAACTGTTGCTGGAGGCATGAATCGTAGTGGATGAGTGTTCGCTCCAAATGTCACTTCTAAGTCGATTCAAGTGTCAAATGTCATCTCTCCTAAGGAGAAAGCCATTTTAACAACCCGTGTTATGCAACAAGGGGCATCTACATCTCTTCCCGTGGTACCAATTACTCCGACTGTAGAGGTTGCGAAAGGCAAAGGAGTAACTGCTAATGAAAATCAAGAGTTTCTCAAACTGATTAAGAAGAGCAATTTCAAGATTGTTGATCAACTAGGGCAGACACCCTCGAAGATTTTGATCTTTCCTTGCTTATGAGTTCCCTTGCTCAATGATTAGCTTTATTGAAAGTACTGAACGCCGCCCATGTAATGCATGACATCTCCGTGACCAATTTAATGTCGTGATTGCAACATAACCGCAAGTAGATATCTAGGCTTCAACGAATCCGAATTGCCTCCTGAAGGGACCACGCATAACAAAGCGCTACACATATCAGTAAAATGCATGGATGCCTTGCTATCTCGTGTCTTCGTGGATACTGGTTCTTCTCTCAACGTGATACCAAAGAACATGTTGAGTTAATTACTAGTAGAAAGGAGTGAGATAAGGGCTAGCGCTTTGATTGTCAGGGCCTTCAATGGTTCTAGAAGGCAGGTTATCAGCGAGGTAGATTTGCCAATCAAGATGGACCGCACTTGTTCACCATCACTTTCCAACTGATGTACATCAACCTTGCCTATAGATGCTTGTTGGGTAGACCGTGGATCCACGACGCTAGGGAAATTACCTCCACGTTGAACTAAAAACTCAAATTCATGTATGAAGATCAACTCGTTATTGTCTGTGGTGAAGAAGATTTATTGGTAAGCGAGTTATCCTCCTTCCGATATGTCAAGACAGATGAAGGCATAATAAAGGTGCCATTGCAATGTCTCAAATTCAAAGACATCAGCTCTGCTTCTATCAATCAAGGAAAATCACAAGAAGTGACCATATCATCTGCTAAGAGTGCAAGAGAGGCTCTTGAGAAGGGTGTTCTTCCCGGCTGGGGGTAAGTGGTTGATGTTGTGGAAAAGTATGATCCTTTCGGACTAGGTTATCGTCTTGCTCAACAAGTTAATTTAGGTTGTCAAAATAAGTTCAATATGATCAAGTTCAGCAATGCTGGTTTCAAGAAAGGCGAAACTGTGGCTGTCATCGGTGATGTTGGCAGTAACAGTCAGAATGCAAGATTTGTACGCAAATTTCCTCTCAATTTCAAGCTTACCAATTGGACGACTACCGTGGTTCCCAGGGTCTTTCCTTTGAACACGTAATGCATTTTTGTTTTTTGATCCTTCGTCTTCGCCCGAGACGAGAGGATAGCTTGTAAGGGCCTCCTATTTTAGATATATTATGTGATCAATAAATGAAAGTTTTTTGCATTCAAATCGCGCTTTTTCCCTTTCTTTATTTTATTTTTTCACAAATGACAAATGGAAAAAGTTTCTTTTATTTTTACCTTTAAAAGAGCTCATTCTAAGCAAAATTCGTAAACATGCAGAGAACATAAATGCATTAATAACAACATAGCAAACAACCATTGTAACTCTGGGGTTCCAATTAACCAAGCTGAAGAAGACAGTGAGGAAGACTGTGAATTACTAGCTGAACTAGTAAGACTTCTTGAGCATGAGCAGAAATAGATTCAGCAACACAAAGAGCCTGTGGAAGTAGTCAACCTAGGCACTGATGAAGTCAGAAAAGCATTCAAGGTTAGGGCATCTCTCACAGAGCATATACACTCCGAGTTGGTCAAGTTATTGCAAGAGTATGTTGATATCTTTGCCCGATCTTATCAAGATATTCCTGGTTAGACACTAACATTATTGAACATCACTTACCGCTCAAGCCCGAATGTCCTCTTGTCAAGCAGAAACTCAGAAGGACTAGACCTGATATGGCACTCAAGATCAGAGAAGAGGTGAAGAAACAGTTTGTCGCTGGATTCCTAGCCACTTCTGAGTATCCTCAATGGGTTCCTAACATCGTCCCCGTTCCTAAGAAAGATGGGAAGGTCAGAATGTGTGTGGATTATCGAGATCTCAATAAGGCAGGCCCGAAGGATGACTTCCCTTTGCCTCACATTAATGTCTTGATGGACAACATTGTCCAGTTCTCAGTCTTTTCATTCATGGACGATTTCTCAGGGTACAATCAGATAAAGATGTCTCTAGATGATATGGAAAAAACCACATTTATCACGCCTTGGGGAACCTACTGCTATAAAGTCATGTCATTCACTTTGAAAAACGCAGGGGCAACATAGCAACACGCCATGGTAACCTTTTTTTACAACATGATACATAAAGAGATTGAGGTTTACATAGACGATATGATTTCCAAATCCAAGATTGAAGACGATTACTTAAACCATCTGAGGAAATTGTTTGCTAGACTCCAAAAGTTCAGGTTGCGGTTAAATCCTGCAAAATGCACCTTTGGAGTCCTATCGGGTAAACTATTAGGCTTTATTGTGAGTCAGAAAGGCATTAAAGTTGGTCCAAAAAAAGTTCGAGCAATTCAAGACATGCCACCTCCCAAAACCGAAAAAGAAGTCTGAGGCTTTCTGGGCCGACTTAATTACATCTCCAGATTCATTTCTCATTTGACGACTACCTGTGAACTAATATTCAAATTGCTAAGGAAAAATCAGACAATTGTGTGGAATAATGATTGTCAAGAAGCATTTAAGAAAATAAAAAGTACTTGCAAGAAGCACTGATCTTAGTACCACCGGTTATTGGTAGACCTTTGACCATGTATCTCACTGTGCTCAATGAATCTATGGACTGTGTATTGGGTCAACACGATGGCACGGGAAGAAAAGAACACGGAGTCTACTACTTGAGCAAAAAGTTCATCGATTGTGAGACCAGATACTCACTTTTGGAGAAGACTTGTTGTACTCTGGTTTGGGTCACTCGACGCCTAAGACAATATATGATTTGCCATACCACTTTATCGATATCCAAAATGGACCTGATAAACTATATATTCGAAAAGCCTGTTGTCTCTGGAAGAATTGCTCGGTGGAAAATGCTGCTATCTGAGTACAACATCCAACATATTACCAGAAAACTATAAAAGGGAGTGTTTTGTCTGACTACCTTGCTCACCAACCTATGGAGGGTTATCAATCAATGAAATTTTAGTTTTCAGGTGAATACGTTCTGTTTATCAGAGATTATGAAACTCCAGACCCCGACATAGCAAAATCATACCACATTTTAAGTACGACCGGATACCCCATTTCTTTAACAACACCAAAAACTTCAAAATAACTTCATCTACCACCATCTCACTTTCAGTTTGACACTATCCCTCCTACATATGTACCCCTATCATCAAACTATCCCCTACGATGAAAGCCAACATAAAAAACATCCATTTTGGGAAGATAGTTGTATGGTGTAGAAATCAATAGAGCTATAAGGGACCACATACAAAACCCTTGACTTCAATAAAGCAAATACATTTTCGTAGAGAAAACGATACTTACCTCAATGTTCAATACTTCGCTTCTAAGTTCGTCTCCGTCGAATCCTTCATCTCCCTTCTTCGTTCGCAACAACTCGTTTCCCTTTTCCAGTTAGGAATTTTAGGTTTAGGTTTAGGGATGCTGCTTAAATTAAGAGATTTTGTCTAAATAAAAGTTAATTTAAAACAATTACATCTAAGCAAAGTTACACTCATCCCAACAATATTACAGTCATATAAACACCGTTAATGATAGTTATGCATTTTTAGAACAAATTCATAAAAAATGGTCAACGTTGTGGATGTAATGTAATTTAAAGAACATGTAGAAAAAAAAACTTAAAAAATCAACCAATTACATTTAAATATATTAAAAGACCTTTGGTGTAATTAAGTCTTCTTTCTAATACCATGTTAAATCATTGGTAGAGAAAACAAAAATGCACATTGTGCATTAAAGAAAAGGAAACATAAAACCTGAAAAAGGAGAATTATTTTAATTAAATTCAAGTTTTACAAGCTGAGTTTAAAACTATATATATATATATATATATATATATATATATATATATATATATATATATATATATATATATATATATATATATATATATATATATATATATATATATATATATATATATATATATATATATATATATATATATATATATATATATATATATATATATATATATATATACCCAAAAATAAACAGAATTTTTTATTAAATAGCCAAATAACAAACAAAATAAACCTAAAATACAAGTTAGCACTACCAAATTAAAAAGTATGATAATTTTGCTATTAGAAATTTTAAATAGGTAGTGGTAACCAAAACTAAAATCATAATACTCAACCCTTGTGGAAATAATCTTCTTAGTACTATTTAGTAAACATATGCTTTAAAAAAAAGTAGGATGTAGTAAATGCTAATGAGTAATTTGACATGAGTGTGTAATGGGAAGTGGTGGATCTGAAAAGGAACCATTGAGTATTCTATTGGCAATCCATTTATTTGCTGCCTCAGTGTAGTGCACGCCATCCCAGCTTATATACTTTGAAGGATCGTTACAAGATTCTGTTACAATTTCTTTACCATTAATCGTTGCTTTATTCCCACAATATACATGGTTACCATCTTCATGATATCCACAACATATTTCAGAAGGTTCAACGAATCCTGTAATTTAACCCATTCATCAATTAATAAAGTTAGTCCTATAACGGTGAGTTTACGGAATGGAAATTATATATCTGCATCTACAAGATCAAAAGGCATGCAAATGGTTCTATTGAATGGTTCAGATAGTGAGAAAGTACTCATACCTGAGTTTTTAGCATTACTGATGAGTTCATACTTTGCGGAGAACATGTCGACATAGGTTAAAGAAGCATTGGGGAAGAGTGTCCTTAATTTGAGAACTTCATCTTTAAGCTTTTTGTTGAAGTCTTTGGCCAAGTCGTTTTGGTAGTTGACGCAGCCGTTTTGATCAAGATATCCTGGAAGTAGAGTAATGTTGCGGCGGGTATTGTGAATTGGCATGGAAACTGGTAGGCAGCCAATGGGGCCTGTGTTGTGTATCCAAAATGTCCTTGCTCCATAACTATATACATTCTGTTTGCCAATATGATTTATATTAATATACTAGAACATGGGCGATGCACGAGAATTCCGTCAAATTAGACTTTTAAATTTTAAAATTTTTATATGAAATGACAAAACGACATATTTTTATTAGAAGATAGTATAAAAAATTTTTTATGGTGTATCTCTTTTAAACTCTTTTAAAAAATGCGACTGAAATTTTATTTTTTCATCTCAAATTAATTTTTCAAATAACTTTTATAAAATAGTGTCTTAAAATATAAAAAATATTTTAGTTTAAATGTAGTTTTGGTTTTATAAGTTAGCCAACTTTTGAGTTTTATCTCAGTAATTTTTTTTTGTGTAAGTCTCTATATCTAACGTTTTGAGTATCTTTTAGTTCTACAACCGAAATCTGTAGGAAAATCTGAAAAAAATACACAGAAAATCTGCGGATTTTAACTTTAGGAATTAACACAAAAAGTGAGATATAGAGACTTAGAAAAAAAATATAAATTAAAGAACCAAACTCAATTGCTAACTTATAAAAACTAATAGACTGTTTAAGCCAATTATTTTTTAAAAACAAATTATAATTTTTATATTTTAAGGCACTATTTTTCTAAATAATTTAAGTACATAGAAGAAACAAAATATACTAAGTGAGTTCTATATTATACACCGCTTTAGAATTTTAATAAAAAATTAATATTTTTTAAAGTTTATCTTTTTTTATATTATTATTCAAAGATAATTTTATAAATATTTTCATACCATTTTCATTCAAAATCGTTTGCATTATTTAGTTTCTATAAAACATCAAAAATATCGTATAATTTAAAATGGAGAGATAATAATTACTTATTATTACTATATTATTATAATCAATCATGTGAATGTTATCATGTTTATAAGATTTATTAGGAATGACTTATTAAATTTTATTGTTAATATTATTAGTAATCATTATGAATGATTCATCATTATTGAAATTTAGATATTTTTAGATGCGGATATATAAAAATAAAATACATTTATGCTCCATAATATACAAAGAACTTATGACTTACTTGAAGTTGTTTTGAAAAATATTCAACAATGTTTGAGATCAGTTCTTGGGAATCTTCCTTTCCCACCTTACTAAGAACATAAGCAATATCATTTTGACCAATATCAAAAGTGTAAATAGCCTTGCCAAACTCCTCTGGCTTTGGAAAATGTGTTGCTGCAATCCAAAATCATATATACATTACATTAAACATATGTGATCTGTAATTCTCAAGAGTATCAATTAATTAACCTTGTCTGAAGAACTTGGCAGTGCGTGTTTTGAAATTGTTAAATTGTTGTATTTGGATTTCGAGAACGAAAGGAGTTCCGCCGTCGAAGTAGGTCCTGTTCTGTCGCATGATTGTGGATGATCCTGCAGCAAAGTTTGCACCATGTCTATAGCTTGTTCCGATCGAGTTTATATATGCGCTCAACAATGGCATTCCAAGGTGCTTTGCTACGTACATTACATACATACATATATATATTAGATATAAAGAAATGATTCACAACATACATATAAAAAATGTTGAATTATATTATACCAATGAAATCTATGATGAGACGGCCATCAGAAGCTCTGCCAACAGCCTCATGGAAAAAGGTCTGACCATAAGGCAAAATAGCAGGGAAAAATGCTGCAGACATAGAGCCTGTATCTGAATTTGAGTCGCCAAAATTGAAGAGTGCTTGAAAATCACATGGTTTTTGTGAGGTTTTCAGTTCAGCTGCTTGGATACTCAATAACCAAGAGAGTAAAAAAACAATAGTAGCAAAATGTGTGAGGGGCCCCATTATTGACATTGCATAAAACAATAGAGCAGGAGGGTTCTCTTATTGTGTATATATATAGTTGTGATTTTGGAGCTTAGTGTATAAGTTTAATGTATCAATATTTGGGGGTCACGTGTGTTGCAAGCTATAAGAATATTAAAAGGAAAATTGAAGATAGTGAAATCCACTTCATATTATGAGTGTCCTGGACTCAAGGCCTATTATATAATGTTTTAATCTAAAGTCACATGTGATACTCCCGTTTTTCTTTTTCCTATAAAAAAAATTTAAATCTCCTTTAAAATATTAAAATTCTTGACTTTAAGCGTCAAAGTTAATTTTTATAATATTTTTTTTATTCTTGCACATTTAGAAAAGTAAAAAAAAAATTATTAGGGTAAATCGAAACTCGTCTATATTAAAGGGTGTTGTATATTTAGTTGAATTATTAGAAATAAGTTTTCATAATGTACAATTATTTGGAAAATTTTATCTCTTCTATTTTAAAACTAATATTTTTTGTTTTGTTTTTATTATTTGTTTATTATTGTTTTGAAAAAAGTGTATTGTTAGATACAATAATTTTTATACTAAGGAAAAAATATATTATTGATACAAATATATTTTTAAATTAGAAAATAATGTATTATTGAATTAAATATTTTTATAAATAGGAAAAAATGTATTGTTGATAAAAAAAATTATAAACCAAGCACAATGTATTGTTGATACAAACATTTTCATAAATGAAAAAAAGTGTATTGTTGATACATATATTTTTATAGAAAAGAAAAAGTTTCTTGTTGATACAATTATTTTTATAAAAAAGAAAAAAGTGTATTGTCGATACAATAATTTTAATAAATGGGAAAAAGTGTGATGTTGATACAAATATTTTTATAAACGAGAAAAAGTGTATTGTTGATACAAATATTTTTATAATAGGAAAAAAGTGTATTGTTGATACAAATATTTTTATAAATGAAAAAAAAAATATTGTTGATACCTATATTTTTATAAACGAGAAACTATTTATTGTTGATACAATTATTTTTATGAACGGAAAAAAGTGTATTTTTGATACAATTATTTTTATAAATGGTAAAAAGTGTGTTGTTGATACAATTATTTTTATAAACAAGAAAAAATATATTTTTGATACAATAATTTTTATAAACGTGAAAAAGTATTTTGTTGATACGAGTATTTTTATAAATTGAAAAAGTGTGTTGTTGATACAATTATTTTTTAAACGGGAAAAAAATGCATTATTAATACATATATTTTTATAAACAAGAAAAACTGTAGTGTTAACACAAATATTTTTATAAACGAGAAAAACTGTAGTATTGACACAAATATTTTTATAAACGGGAAAATATCTATTATTGATACAAATATTTTTTAAACGAATTTTTTTTATTGTGGATACAAATATTTTTATAAACAAAAAAAAGTGTATTATTGATATAAATATTTTTATAAACGGATAAAGTGTATCGTTAATACAAACATTTTTATAATTGAAAAAAAGTGAATTGTTGAAACCTATATTTTTATAAACAAGACAAATTTTATTATTGATACAATTTTTTTTATAAATATGAAAAGTGTATTGTTCATACAATTATTTTTATAAATGAAAAATAATGTTTTGTTGATACAAATATTTTTAGAAACGGAAAAAGTGTGTTGTTGATACAAATATTTTATAAACGGGAAAAAGTGTATTGTTGATACAAATATTTTCATAAATGAGAAAAAGTGTATTGTTGATGCAAATATTTTTATTAACGGAAAAACAATCTATTTTTGGTTCAAATATTTTTATAAATTGGAAAAAATATATATTTGTGACTCTATGAATGTCTTTAATCTACAATGCAATTTCTCAGCTGAAAAAATAAATAAGCTAATGAGATAATTTTACATTCAATATGTCAATCTGACGGAACCGTGTGATAACACCGATATTTTACTAGTTTTCATAAAATAACTTACAGGATAAATGCTAAATCAACTTACAGGATCACTCATAGATGGTCTGGCAAAATCAGGTTTCTTGAATGCAGTAGTAGGCTTAGTCATTTTGTGTCTTTTTCTAATAAATGTTTTGACATCGGTTGACATTAGTTTGAAAGGAATATGTTGTTTGGCAGGACTTGTATCAACACGAATTGGTTGAAATTCTAGTATGAAATTCTCTCAAATGTCTCATCATTCAACAATTGAGATAAGGTTTCAGGATCTATCCCACAATATCTTCTAGTTGCATCATCATGTTCCACAGATGCAAGTTTAGTTGCAAGTTCCACAAAAGGTTGAGTTGCAAGTACCACATAAGTTTTGTCTCTTTGTATCAATAAAGTGGCATCAAATGATTCACTATGATTGTTCATTAGAACATCACACTTAGAGTAAAAGGGAAAAGCCTACTTACACCATTTATAACATTTATAACATTCAAACATTCAAAAGCATATAAATTCATCTCCTTAATTTGCATCATCTTACCTTCATGTGCTTCATAGTAGGTTGCTTTTTCTACAACGATAATGAGATCTCTTAATAATGTACTACTTCCAAATTTCTTTTTGAAGTTAGCATATAAATGTCTTAAAAAAAACTTGTGTTCATATGTAGGTTATTTGTCCTAAAAAACTTGCACAAGTCCCTACACATAATAACACAACATTTTAGTAAACTAAAATGAGAAAAAAAAACAAAAATAACCATATACAATTATACACACCTTTTATAGATCAGAAATAAAGCATTGCCTAGTATCACCAATATCTTCAAGAAGTAAATTAATAAACAAGCTCCAAGAGTCCTTGGTTCTAGTCTCTACAACCCCAAAAGCAATACGCAGATATTGATCATTGGCATCCCTCCCAACATCAATCAACATAATTTAGTTCTTTAGTAAACAACCATCTAATCATATGAATGGTTGACATGCTTGTGTCAATGCATGTTTTTCCCCATCAAAACACATGTAACATTTTTCAAAAATTGGTTGGAACCCAGGTCTTAGTATGTCAATGTTTAATTTGAATGTGTTTCCTTAAGAAGTCCTCCTTAATTCACCATCATATGACCATAACAAACTATGTTGTTTGCTTGATTCCCCATCAACAACTTATCTTGACAACTGCCTATTTTTGAAAGCCCCACAACCAGTGATCTTAGTAGAAAACTTCAGCCTTACATCTGATACAATTTCATTTAACTTCATCTTAGTATTGTTCTTCAACTTTTCTACTATCATCTTAGCAACCCAATTAGCGTTTGCATTTTTATTGAAGAACTGTCTTCCACACTTGTGTTTGTGAAACAAATTTTTGATCTTAAATGTTGTAATTCTTAAAACTCTGTTGCATAGTACAATGTAGTTACAATAATTTTAGTTCTCATAAACAACCCTACACCCATTGGCATCATTTTCGTAAAATCTTACCTCCCTGCCATTCAAAACATTGTAAAATCTTTTGTAAGTGTTTCTTCTTTATTGAACCTAATCACTGCAGGCCTGTCATCACAACTATCTTGATTTGCCCCACTATCAAGCTCATTTGTCATGTAATTTTATTCAATGACATGTTCTTTATCCATCTCTTCTATGGTAAACATATGGATGGTTAGTTGACTTGTATCAGCACCATCAACATTCTCTTTTTTATACTCACATTCATTCACTCCTAAGTTAAACCCTTCATCAAGGTCTTCATCAAAATCATGCATTCTCTCTTCTTCATTGTCTTCAAACTGTATATGATAAATAAAATTGTCACTTGATTCACTGTCATCACCACTTTGATCCTCACCACTTTCATGTCCCGTTTATTTCTCTCTAAACCTCACCATATAAGTCAACTCACCTATAGATGGTTTGAGCTTGGTATAAATTTCAACTTCACAATTATTGTTCTTAGTAAACAAAGATAACAATGATGCATCCTCATCATTTCTAAATGGTCTTAGATCTTTTACTAAACCACCCTATTCATGTTTCCACCACATTTTTACTTCATCAATAGTAAATGCAGACTTCATCCCTTTAATTAGGTCATGAGCTTCAAAGAATGATCAGACCAATGTCTTGTCCACTGAATGCATAAATATCCCTACCTTTATACCTTAACTTTGGGTCTTTTACAAAAGAATCATTTGTGTAAAATACAACCTTAAATAACTTATCATGTACATTAGAGATATGAAAAAAAGGCAAATTTGGAATTACAACACATATACGGACCACACATTATGCAAAACCCTAGAAGTTTACAATCAACACGACAATTTTTCAGGTGGACCATACATAATGCAAAAACCTATAACTATGACATGAAAAAATCGAAGAAACATAAACAATTAGGTATCATAATTAATTTTAAAAACACAAAAAGGAATAAACATATACTAACCTGTCTTAATGTTGGGACCACAAGTTTTAAACAAGAAAAATCTCCGTACACCCAAACAGAAATGAAACCCTAATATATGATACTTTCGCACACCAAAATCAATGACTTATTCAAACGTCTTCAACAGAGCTTCCAATGTCTTCAATGGAGCGCGAGCGAGAGAGACCATAATGAATACTGGACATTTTAGAGTTTTTGAAAATCTAAAGTTAGAGACATTTGGTATTTTGAAGGTGAGGTTTAAAATTCTAAACCACGTTTTTACAAGCCACAATAGAAATAAATTTGTTTAATCAGCTTAAAATAAACAAGAGTTAAGAATTAATCCATGTGTACTTCTATGTCATATTTTGTTAGTCTCACTTAACGCCAGGGATCAAATGTATGGATGGAAAGTTTTTCGAATACCATTCTATGAAGAAAATTTTTTGAGGGTTTAAAAATGAAATTTGGAATATTTATGAGGACCAGAAACATATTTAAACTTTATTATCATTATTTTTTTTATTGTATGTGATTGACAATATTTTCTAGGCAACACGTAAAGCATGATGTTCTTCCAAATTGTGAGACAACCTGTCTCTTTGTAATCAAGACACTTTA